TTAGCACCCAGGGGTCCGACATCAGGAGAATTTCATGAGACCGCCAAGGAGAAGCCAGTAAAAGGAGGAAGTGGGGAAAATTTTAAGAGGCTAATAGAGAAGGAGATACAGGAGAAGAGGAAAAAGTGGTTATATTTCTAGTGTGATAAGAAGTATACTCCAGGGTACAGGTGTAGCGATCGAACTCTTCAGGTTCTCACCGTCTGTGATGACGAGAAAACTGAGGGAGGTGAGAGAGAGATGGATGACAAGCTGCATCTGGATGTGGTGGAAGTCCCCCTGAATTCAGTTGTAGGATTCACTTCGAATCATACGATGAAGGTGAAGGGGAAAATAACAAGCATGGAGATGGTAGTATTGATTGATAGTGGGGCTACCCATAATTTCATTTCCACTCAGGTCGTCAATCAACTAAGAGTGAAATTGGTGGACACCAGTTATTATGGGGTGATGATGGGTACATGGAAGGTGGAGAAAGGCTATGGGATCTGTAGAGGAGTGATGTTGACCATCCAGGGGATTCAGGTAAGGGAGAATTTTCTCCCACTAGAGTTAGGAAGTACTGATATCATCATGGGGATGAAGTGGATGCAAATCTTGGGGGAAACCAAGGATAATTGGGGAGCACTCACGATAGAATAAAGGGTGGATGGGAGACAGGTGGTTATAAGGGGAGATGCAGAGCTATCCAAAGCCATGGACCATGATAACACTTAAGACCATGGTTAGGAGCATATAAGAGGTGGGAGAAGATTATCTGGTGGGACTACATAAGCTGGATGTGATCAGGATAAAGGAGGGAGGGATGTTTCTCTTTCAGTGCAGCCCTTGATTCAACAATTTGGTGAGGTTTTTTGGCCATCTCAAGGATGGCCACCTCCACGAGAACATGAGCATATCTCCACCTTGAGGACAAGGTGGATCTTTGGAAGGGGAGTATTGTTAGACCGATCCAGCAGGTCCACGTGGGAGTGTCCCAGGTGCGAATGAGGAGAAACTTCTCCATCTCCTGCTCTAGCCGCACGAGCCGCAAGATCCACGGAAGCAAATTTGGAAGGATTTTTTAGGGAGTTAGGAGGGAAATTTGAATATAGGGACTGTTAGAGATTTCCTTTTAAATGGTAGCATTAAATATCTTGTTTTCCTAGGGTTAGGGCATCTTGAATTTAGCCGATTTTGGGATCTCTTAGGTTTAGGTTTTGGGCTCTAGATTCTTCTAGAGATTTGGAGAGGTCGATCATCCTCTCGAATAGAGGATCACTTCTATCTTGTTGTTTTCTTCCGATCTATTTGATTCTTGCAATAAAATTACTATTTTTCTAGTTTTCTTTTGTAGTTTTGAAGAGTTTCTTGCTGATTTTTTGAAATTGATAGGATTTGCTTGAAATCTTCAAGTGTTTTCTATCATTAACTTGATATCTCACCTTTGCTTAGTAAGAATTTCATGATTACAAATGGCTTTCTTTTTATGGAAAATCAACTTTGCATGCCTGATTCACTTTACAAGATTTTCTTATCTTAGACATATGCTGGTGGTGTTGTACGACATTTTGATTGAGATAAAATTATGCCCATTATTGAGGATAAGTATTAGTGGTGTAGCCTAGAACATGAAGTTGCATATCAGAATGCAGAATGTGCAAAAGGTTCAAGGAAAAGAATGGGCTTTGCACGCTATTACCTATTCCATATAAACATTGTGAAAATATCAGCAAAGACTTTGTTCTAGGATTACCACAAACATTAAAACAAAATATGATTCTACTTTGCAACAGTTGATCGTTTTTAAAAAACGGTTCATTTCATTCCATTTTGAAATTTCAAATGCATTTCACATAGAAAAATTATACATTAATGAAGTGATTAAACTGCATGGATTACGTAAAACTATTGTGTTTGATAGACACGTTAAGTTCATGAGCTACTCTTGAAAAACCATATGGAAGAAAGTGCAAACCCAATTAAAGTTTTCAACTATTTATAACCCCCAAGTTAATAGGAGTTTGGGGATCTATTACAGAATATAATTAAAGAACATGAATCTGGTTAGAATTTAATACGAGTCAATGACTGAATTGGCATATAATTCTTTTGTTAATAGGTCTACAAGTATTAATCCATTTGAAATTGTCATAGGATACATTTTTGAAAACAAATAGATATTGTTGAACTTCCTGCTGAATCTAGACCTAATCAATTTGCACAATGATTGGTGGCATATGCATGCTCTACATGAAGATATTTGTAGAAAATCAACTGATAATAATAATTATTATAAGTTTAATAACGCAAACAAAAGTCAAGCTATGTGATAACATAATGGTGCATCTAATGCTAAAATAATTCCTTAAAGGGAATTTAAGAAATTAACAACAAGAAAGGTCAGCCCATATAAAATCTTGCACCGCATTGGACAAATGATTATAAACTATATATCCCTGGAAGCACTAATATTAGTTCAAACTTCAACACATCTGATTTAACATATTTCATCAATATATATCTGCATTGCTACTTTATATCCAACACTATATCAGACAAGTCTACTAGCTTTGTTCTTGAAGCTACCATAGAAGATGGGATTAGCATGGCATATCTTCATATGACTCACGGATTACTCAACAAGAAGCATAACAGTTCTGCCCATACTTGAACACATGCTTAATTTGTCCAGAATAATTTTTTTAACCAAGCAGAATTAATGAGAATTTGAAATTATATACTCTGCATAATCACATAAGATAAAAATTCAGAAGAGGAGTAATTTGCATTGTCTTTCTTTCAGTTTGCATTGCTTTTTTTTTCTTTTTTTTTTATTTTCATTGTATGTTAAAGTATGCCTATGATGTTGATCCGATTGAGATGAATTGTGTTATCTAATATTCTAACTTCCTCTTATGCTTGATTAATTGTTGTGAGCATCCCAATTTAATTAGCATATTGACTAGTCTTAATTTTAGCTTTTTAAGGGTTCTTTCTATATATTGCGTCCTACATTTTCTTTTTATTATTCCTGTCATATGGTTGGTTTTTACTTCTGCTGATTGTTGCAACCTTGGAATCAATAAAAAAGTTGTTGATTGTTAAAGTCCTGAAGCCATATATTGTATTTGCTAATTGCTACTGTTCTAGGATCGATGATTGCTATAACAACAAGGGTCACCTCATAATTTCTCTTGTATGGATGTATACATATGGAAATTATGAAAAGTATAATTGATTCCTATTGTTAAGTGCCGGTAGACTTGGAGCATACAATTTTTTATTGGATCTTAGGGGATTCTGAAGATTTTATTTTGATTCCCTTATTGGCTATTATAGGACCCCTGAGGTATGTAAAAAATTATTGAACACTAAGTATTAAAATAAAGTTTAAATTTTTCTTCAATTATTATGTGTGTGCTAGTTGGAAGTATATTTTTCGAGCTCTTCACAAGCCTTGAGACGAGTCTCCTTGTAATATTGTGAGATCTAGACCTTTCTTTTGAGTAATTTATATCACTGTTCTTGCTACAAATTTATTTATTGGTCAGTGTGTATGCGTTATTAAAATTTTATCAAGTACAATACATCTAGGATTCCTTTCATAGCGCAAATCTTATCATTATTGAAACATTATATTCCCACTATTATTTATGAAATTTCAGATTTGGTGAACATTAAAAATTCAAAAACCTATTCACTGTTTTTACAACAAAAGTGAATAATTTTTGTTAAAAATGAGAGTTTGTAACCCGCAGATTGTGATTTTTTTGCATTTTTATTATTCATCTCATACTAAGTTGTATTAAAAAATCTTAGATCCTCATACATCCTACATCTCCTTGACTCTTTATAATATTCTCTTTTTATATAGAATTCACAAGCACTTTTCCATTTTCATTACCCAACCATTTGAGAAGTGATATACTCATGTATTCTTCATTTTTTTTTACAATAAATCCAATATACTTCAATCTATCACATATAAGTATCTCTTAATCTTCTACCAATATTGATGAGCAACTTTTGATATCATATAAACTAAATTTTCACATCAAATGCTCATACTTTTATATCATATAAGCTAAAATAAATCCAACATACTTAAATCTGTCAAATATGAGTATCTCTTAATCTTCTACCAATATTGATGAGTAACTTTTAATACCATATAAACTAAAATTTCACATCAAATGCTCATAATCCTCGCCTTTCTCCCCCTTTCACTCCTACCCAAATTACCAAAATCCTTGACTTCAAAGTGAGGAAGTTGCGATCGGAGGTAGCTGAATAAGGCATCCATGGGAACATTGGCCAGTGAAGGAGAGAGGAGTAAGGATATAGGAGGTATGTGAGAGTTTGTGTCCAAACTGCAATAGGGAGATTGTGCCAAACATGTAAGTGGCTAAATCTGCTAAATCCGTCAAATTAAAGGATATGTGATTCCCAGCAAAATGGATGTGAAACAGGATTTAGAAAAAAGTAGTAGGATTTATTTTGATTGTTTGAACCATTTGGCAGGATGTACCGTAAATCTTGCTTAAATCTTACATAAATCCAGCTACCAAACAGACCATTAGGGCACTATACTATTGCCCTTAACAGTTTATGTGCAGTAAATAATTAAAGAAGACTTTAAATCTCCCTTCAGTTTTTTTTTTTTTCCTGATCCTAGTCACATTCAAACACATCAATATCCTACATCACCAAATCCCCGAACAATGTGCATTAACAGAAATGCCATCATAAAGCAGAATACAAATTCATCAAACAAGACCCGCTTATCGCCCTAATCAACTGCATCCAGATCTGATACCTCAAGAAACAAAAAAAAAAGGCCACAAACAGAAGAAATCTAGTTTCTGATTAAATCCCAACCTTATCAATCTTAAGAACCAAGAAACATAGAATCTTTAAACCCACTGAACGTATTCCATGCAGTTCCAACAAAATAATCGAAACCTAGAACCAAAGATAAGATAAAAGAAAGGCTGAAAACAAACATATCGAAAGCTGACCTGTTTTAGGACTGACGAACCGGCCTCGATTTGGTAAAGTGGTCGGTGGCGGGTGATCTGATGAAGGTGGACTCGTCAACTTTATAGATAAGAGAGATCTTATTAGCAGATTAGCAGAGGACGGGTAATCAACGGGGACCTCGAATCACACGAGGAAGCAGAAGATGGCCACACCGGCGATTGTGTAGCCGTCCCTGTTTCCAGCGCCACATGGTTTCAACTGCAGCGTACTTGCTGCCCGAAGTGTGGGCCCGACCGGTTGAATCATTCCAGCGGTTAAAGTTTAATAACTATATATATATATATATATAATTTAATTATTTGCTTTGGAAGAAAGCCCATTTGGTTTAGAGATAGAATGTGAAAGTCATACATGAAAAAATTAAAGTATCTCTAGTAAGAGAAATATTAGAGAAAGTCTTCTGAGATGATTTGATTATATAAAATATTGGCCTTCTGATAATTCTGTTCGAAGAATAAGATTTATTTGGGATAATTTTTTTGTTGTTTTCAAAAATAACTTTTTGGTATTAAAATTTTTTTTAATAAAACATTATTTTAGAAGTCATTAAAAAAGTTATTCCAAACAAAACATAATGCAATAGATCCAATCAATATTAAGAAAGGTAGAAATCGACATAAAAAGATTTAATTATAAAATGTTAAAAATTAACTACTTTATATTAGATTTTAAATAAAAATTTAACTCTTAATGTGATATATTGAAGAAAAAGAATTCATGTGATATGCCTCATATTTTGGAGAAATTATTCAGTGCGTACACCAAATGGTTCGGAGACCAACCAAAATACTTCACGTCACTCGATACACAGCGGTATTGAGCACCAATACAAAGCAAAAAATAAGTGAAGTGGTGCATTCTTTTTTGGTCTCTGAACGCCACCCAGTGTCCGCACAGAGTAATTTTTCTATATATTGGGATATTCTGTTGTTGTTGCTCCTGCTTTGGAAGAAAGTCCATTTGGTACAAAATTGGAAAAAATAAGCATAAATTTTAACCGGATAATTTGTAATGGGTCAAGTTCAAGAAAATGGGCAAATATTTGAAATACCCAAATATTTGTTAGTTGCTCTAAACCTGGCCCACAAACAACTCGAACTGACTCAAAAACTCATTTTAATTAAAAAAATATTTGTATTAGTCTATTAATCATAAATTTTACATTAATTGATAAAAATAAGATGATTATACTAATAAATAAAACAAAATATGAAAAAAAAAAAAACATGTTAATTTGATCAAACTTAGGTTGATGAGTCAACCTGAACTCTGCCCATTTAATAAATTGTTCAAAATACTTGACTTGAATCCAACCTGCTTATCAAATGGGTCAAACTGAGCCCAAATATTTTGGAGTTGAATAGGGTTGGCCAGCCCGATCATTTTTTGGCACTCCTAATCATTTTTTGCTTTTTCTTAGAAAATACAAAATATTTTTGTATTTCTAATGAAAATATGAAATCCTTTTGCATTTCTGAGAATATAAATTTGTTTTACATTTTCATTAGAAAACAAAAAAAAATTATTTACTCTTCCTTAAATTAAATTTAAATTGATTTTCTTTTACATAATTATAGTTAATATTTGCTTCTTTCTAAAAATTTGACATAAATAAATTGCTTAAGAATATCTTAAACATAATTTGTGATTTGTGAGGATAAACTTAATTTGTTGATTTGGATTTGTTGGTGGGCTATTAGATTGCTGATGTGAGGCTAGTTAAGGGTGTGAATGAGTCGAGCCAAGCTCGAGTCATATCTAATTGGAGCTTGGCTCGTCAACCAAATCATAAGTTCAAGCACAATTTTGACCCGTAGTGGTAAAAATGGGCTCTCGAGCAGCTCATGAGAAGGAACAATTATTACGTCCTCTGACCGGACGTAGAGCTACATTCGACCGTCAATAACATGTCGCCACGTGCTCTTACTATTTACCGCGCGACCCGACTACTTGACATAAACTGGAACCTGGGAATGTTATGTTCGCGTATTGCGAGGTATTACTCGGTATTTGCTCGGCATTGCTCGGTATTGCTAGGTATTGCATGACAATAACGAGAAATACCGCTCTGTGAAGACCAATACCGAGCAAATACCAAGTTTTACCGAGTTGTACTAAAACTCGGTACAACTCGGTATTACTTAGTATTTGCTAGGTATTGCATGGCAATAACGAGAAATATCGCTCTGTGAAGATCAATACCGAGCAAATACCGAGTAATACCGAGTTGTACAAAAACTCGGTACAACTCGGTATTACTCGGTATTTGCTCGATATTAATTATTGCCAAGCAAAATCGACCTATACCTAGCAATATCTAGTAAAATCGAGAAATAACCAGCCATCCTGGGTTCGTTCCGGGTCGGATTGTCGGCCGAATGTAGAGCTACGTCATGTGACCGGACCAAATAAAAGTTCCATGAGAAGGCGGCTTTACTGGAAGGTCGCGTGTGTTGGAGAAGAAGAAAAAGACACATCTCTTTGATTTGCATTTTTTTTTTTTTTTTTGTCTATGAAATCGAGAGAGTTTTCTCTTTTTTGCTACACTTGATCTTAGCCAAAAGGCCGAGAAAGATTTTTGTCTTTTACTTATTTTTTTCTGCAATTTCATTAATGTAAGGGGTAGGGCATTAGCTGAGCTTGAGAACTGCTACAGCAAGGCAGTTTTTTGCCTTTTTTTTTTTTTTTTTTCAAATTCAAGCTGTACCAATAGCTTTTGTTAAGAGAAAAAAAGCTTTAGCTAATTAAAGAAAAAACTATTATTAAGTGGAAGATAGCGAGCTCGCAAATCGAGCCTCATGAAGCTCGAACTTGATGAGCTTGAGTTTTAACTCAAGCTTGAGCTCACGGCTCGATAAGCTCAGCTCGTGAGCGTGAGTTTATTATCGAGTCAAACTCGAGCCGGCTCGGCTAAGTTACACCCATAAGCTGAAATTTGAACCAACAAAAAAAAATTGCTTATAAAGTTGGTTAAATTACAAAGAAAGTGCTCCAGAATCTTCAAGGCTTTATATTGGTGGAGCCTGGAGCAAGAATAAATTAAAAAATCTGGGAGCTAATCTGAAATTGCTACTGTTCTAAGACGATCTAATTGGATTCTGTATGTGGTTTCTCCCTCAGGGGAAGAGGTAGAAGAAGACTCGGACTATCCAGCAAATTTTTACTCATTTCTTCAAAACAAGTGGAGGGATCGTGAAGCTGTGTTGTTTAATCGGCCTTCATTTGAGGATTCCCATCTAATTGAGCTGGACATTGCTCGAAAGCTCCACGGAGATGAAAATTATTAGGTCCGGACAAATAGGTCTGGATATCCAATTAAAATTTGCGGCGTGATCTGCGCTTTGACTACATTTTTTGACTGCGCTTTACCTGCACTTTACATGCGCTTTAAATATGCTTTACCTGTGCTTTTGACGCGCTTGACTTAAAATTCTGCAGACACGTGTTCATTTCACATATTAATATTTTATTAGACAATGGATGTATCTCTACGTCCGTTGTCTGGACCTAATAATTTTCCCCAGGAAGAGGTCTTAGCTATTGAAATCAAAGATGTCGTTAGCTCTATCGGGTCAAGCGGAGCACCTCGATTGGATGGGATTACGACTTTTTCAAGCATTTCTGAGTAATTGTATTATTTTTGGGGATATTTAAGTTTATTAAGGCAAATTCATATACATATCACATAGGTAAAATTCGAATCCAATATCTGACAGACAAATCTCTCAACCAATAGACAAAAATGAGCAGCATATTTCTGACAAATTGTCGGGTTTTAATTCGATTCTTTGTTACTGGTAGAATGTCACGATCAAGGTCGCTTTAGTTGTCCTTATCCCTAAGATGGCTTCAGTAGGTTCTCCCTACAAATTTAGACTAATTTGCCTTTGTCAATAATGGTTCTTACCTCTTGTTTTTCATATGTTTCGCAATAGTTACTCAACCACTCCAACTTTTGTGGTGAAAATGCTTCAGTTAATTTAGGCTCTACTTATGATTTTGTTTAATTAATTAGTACTATATTTTGGCTGTTTTATTTAGAAATTATTTCACTTCATGTATTTCTTTATGAGATTTTTTCACTTCATGTGTGGAGATTGGAATTTTTTATTGTGGTTATTCTATTGTGTAATTACTCATGAATGTAGATTTATATGTGCATATTTAAATTAAATTATTTCATTATAGTTTATGTGATGATTTTCATTACAAATGAAATTGTGTTCTTTATAAATTAGGCTAATTTAGTTGTGATTAAAATTATTTACCATCACATATGTGAAATATAGTATTGCATCATCATATCTTATCGACGGAGATTTTTTTTCATTTTAGGAGAACTTGGTGTTTGATCTAAAAATTATATAGCTTGTATGGTTGAGCATATGATTATTAATATGAAGCTTAATAATTTTATCACTCGCTCACTCAATCTACACCTTTTGATTGTAGCTAGATGTTGTACTTATAAAATTTCTATAAATGAGCACTGATGGGGGTGTTTGATGTGATAAGATAATGTTGAGCTAATTTAAAACTCATTGTATTTGAAATATGTTTAGATTTTTTTGATATAAAATTTAAACCAACACACTAATTTATACAAGTAAATATTCTAAATCAAGTAATAAAGTGATAAAATAGAGTGTCAAACCCATAAGTAGTGATCTATTATTATGCAGTAAAACTATTATTGCTTACTCTGAATGCATGAACTTATTCCACTGAAATGAAAATAAGATTTTTGAGCACCTATTGCTGATGAAAACAAGTATCAAAGTTGATACAATTTTGATAAAATATTTTGGACTAACGTATGTAAATAATATATTTTTTTCTAATGAAACTCTTAATTGTAGATGAGGATCAGAGAATGTGAATCTCTAGATCTTTGTCAAGCTTGTAAGATTGAAAAGAAATATTATTAGTCTCCCTACAATTTTACTGTCACTAGAGAACCTAGAATATTCAAACATCCTATTTCTAAGCATACCAATATTTTTAATTATTCTTTCATTCCTCCATTGAGGCTATATATCACATTAGGTTTTAACTACATATATGATCATTATATGCATTAAATTAAGAACGAGAGATATTAAAAATATCATTATTTTCATTAAAGAACAAGAGTCTACATTAGTACTTAATATATTCTTTACATCATTAGCCCAAAATAGAATATGTAGTCATACATGAAATAAATAACAAGCAAATTCATATTCTTTTTTATTCATAGAAGAATAAAGTACAAGAGAAGTAAGAAGTTTATCACCACAATGGATCTATGTATCTTCTCTATACTCCTTCCTCAACTTACAGTGTTGCAATATTGTATCTTGCACTTTTCTAGCCTCCCTTATACTTTACTCTAAAGGGACACTAAAAAAATACATCGAAAATATATTAAATTACACTAAGGGAACTCAACTCTTCAAACAATAAAACTGACTTCTATTTATAGTAATTACAAGATAGGACTTGAGCGATGTGATGCTTAACAAAGTGTCGATGCGACGATGAAAAATGAACTAGCACCTAGGTGCTATGATGTTGGCTCTATTGTGATGCTAGGTGACATGGCATTATAGTCTGGATCAGTGCATCTCTTCTCTAAGTCAGCACGTCTCATAAAATTTATAACTGCTTTGTCGTGACATTATGAAATATGAGTGCAAGGTGCTTGGAATAACTTTCTGACACCACAACACTGAAAAAGGCTGGCGCTCATGCGTTGAATTTTCCCAAGGCACCTAATATTACAGTACTTATTTCGGGCACAACGGCGTTGTGATGGGTTGCAACGCTAACATCTATGATGCCACAATGGTTGCAAATAGAGTAGGTTGTCACTGTCGCTTCAAAATTGGTGCTCCTATGTGGATCGATACGATGTTGCGACATTAAACTTGTCGATGCTTCCCAATACTTGTAAATTTCACTTTTCCTGCACAATTCCTGTATAAAAATAAACAAAGTAACATATTTTTACTGTATTTAACATAAAATATAATTCACAATTTTATACTTATTAAATTCCCTAATGCTTAAACTCTTGCTTCTCCTCAAGCAACATTTGCATTCACTACTTGATCACCTTAATAGCCAAAATAAAAATTACTAAAATATATGATAATACATCACTATCTAGAAGTAATTTGGAATAAAAAGTTATAATTAAAATTTAAAAAATACATAATATTTATCCTAGTAAGTCATTATTATTATTGCTTATTTTTGAATTTATCCACTATATTTGAAAATATAAGATTAACTTCTTAATATAGAATAAATAATGTAGCCTAGTGATTAGCAACTCATAATTTAAATAGGGAGTTCATGAGTGCACTATCTCATGTACTAGATTATTTATTTTATACTTTTTTTTTTTTGTTAAATAGCAAGATATAATAAAAATCAAGCTACAATTGATACCAATTTAAAATGTACTTCTTTTCCATTTTGAACTATTTTATTTTCCTTTTTTCAAGTTTTTAATTTTTATTTTGTAAAGTACATACTTAATGATTTTAAATATCAATTTTTGTTTTCCTTCTCTTGCAATCCTTTTGAATTAATATAAGGATTCAACAAATTTTCTAGTTAATTATGTTTTTCTTAATTTAAGCTATATGTATCTAATTCTTAAATCTACTTATTCATTTTAATTCAGTTGTCAATATCAAGTAATGCATAGCTTCTAAATTCATAGTTAAGCCAAAAATATAAATGATCTAAAATAGTTAAATGTTGGATTTTTTAAAGTAAGAATTATTATGTTATATTCATTCAAACTGTAATATAGGATTTCATTATTATCTTAATTTAATATAATTTTTCATTACAATTTTTATTTTGGCTATATAATGAAATTAAGTGTATTAACTGTAGAGGACAATATGCACAAATTTAAACATAAAAAATTTAATAAGATATAAAACAAATACAAAACATCCATAGGGTCCGAATAAAAATTGAAAATAAGTAACATAAGTGGGTTGCCTTTCATCAGCGTTAAGTTTATAGTTTTTAGTCAAACTTAACTTAGATTTATCAATTTGGCAGGAATACAACATTATTACTCCTCAAGTGGTTTTCACTGGATTCTTTTTCTTTATCTTTGGGGTTAACTTCAGTATTACTAAGAAGAGATCCAAGAGGTCTACTACTGAAAGAAATTTTATGCTATCCAAATTGAGTTTCCAAAGTTTTAATTCAAGCAGCTTGACTTTACAATTGAGTTTTCAATTGAATCGCTATCTCTTCCATTGGTTTCAGTAGGTCAAACCTAGTTTGTGGAGCCCAGACCCAGGCCCTATTCAACATTTTTGACCAAGTCAACCTATATTGATTCAACTAGCCCAAATTGCCCTTATTTGGGTTTTAATCAATTCCAAACCTTTCTTGGCTCAATCCTCCACCCACTTGGACTTGTTTGACCATGTTAACTAGGTCAACACATGGATTGTTCAAACCAAGCCCTATTTGGTCAAATTTGACATATTTTAATCAAATATCTCCTTATTTATTATATTTAAGCCATTCCTAATATATCCTCCCTTGACCCAAACCACAGTCAAGGGGTATTAATTCCCTCCTAATTAACCCTAGGATTGATCTTGACTATTGATCATGAGCTTAGGGTTATATATAGAGGTGTTAGGGCTCCTTTACATGGACTTTTGCTTTTGCTCTCACCCTAGCCTCTCTCAACCCGAGAACTTATGTGTGTGAGATTCCCTAATCTCTCTCCACCTTTCCCAAGCTAAATCCACCGGCCAAGCCTTGTCGGCGGCGAGATCTCTAGCGAACCGAATCCCTAAACCTTCCAATATGAATTCCCATTGATACATTGCATTTTGAAACGCGATTCCTTCTACAAATAGGAGCGTGGACAATCTACAAGTGCAACAAACCCAATATCTCTCGAATCCATCCATTGTATTAGGTAAAAACTCAAACTCTAGTCTAGTGAACTTAGAGGTAAATAACTTCTTGTATAGAGCGTTTTAGAACGTAATTTTCATCCCCCGTGAATGCTCTTTACTCATAAAAGCTACATTTAAAATTTTATACAATTTGGTTCACCCAATTGAGAGAACGAGGTGAATTATCGTTTTAGGGCTCGGGTTGCATCCTCTGTTCACTAAGGGAAGATCAAGATCGTTGATCTCGCGATCAACTATCATGATCTAGCCTTTCTGCGGTTCTCATCAACCTCGGATCTTGATCCCATGATTTTTTTCCGTTCGACGTGATTTAGACCGTCTGTATTAAACAACGGACGATCGGACGGCACAACGATCGTGTTTGACATGGTTAATGATCTGGCGCTGATTTTCACGCTGCGACAATCATTGCCAATGATTGCCCCACGGTTTGGGCAACCAACAAGAGGCCACCACGTCGCCCACATCTGTCGTTTTATTTAAATTAAGTTTTAAATGTATTTTTAAATCATATTTCTTCAAATAATTATTAAAAATTATTTTTAAACTCAAAACTTAATATAATACATCACTATTTTTATGAAATTATCTCCTTTAATTTAAAATAAAATTAGTTTAAAATATTAGATGTTTTTTTAATTATTTTAATTATTAAATACTTTGTATTTTAAATTAATAATTAATTATAAATGATTAAAATATTTAATGAAATTTAAAATCTTATTTTAAAAATATTTTAGAATTTCAAAGAGATATTTAATGTATTTTTATTTTAAAAATAATTTAATTTAAGAAATAATATTTAATTATCTGTTTGACGATTAGCCGTAATCGAAAGTTTTCTCTCTCTATCGAGAGGGGTAATTAACTATAGGAGTTTGCACTTATAGGAAACCTGAACCCAGATCAAAAAGTCCTCGCAAAATGAGGGTGAAATATTTGGGTAATGTCTTATTCAAAACCCAATGTGTCTACTAACAATTTACCTTAAAACCTACTCGTTGAATCTCTCCTCGACGACCCAAAAAAGAAAGAGAAAACTGGCACAGAGAAGTTGGGATTCAAATTTTCATAGCCCACATACTTAAATGTTATAATTTTTTTATAATTAGTTAACTATAAGCAAGGCAATTTCATGATCTTAGTTTTTTAATGTTAATTTTTTTCTTAAAAAAATCATAAATAAATTTTAATTATTTTTTATGATTGCATTTGTAGTCAAAATTTATTATCTAAATCATATTTTATCAATTCTAAATAGCCAAAAAATTAGGTGATAGGAAATTCTTAATTATTTTTTAAATATTTCATGAAGGTGAAATATTCTACCTGAATAATATGTATGATTGAATAATATTATTCATTTAATTAAAATTTTAACATTTTTAAAATCTTCAATTCCTCTCATATTTATTAATGAAACATGTGTAACTACAATCTTATCAGCCTCTTACGTCCCTAAGCACCGCACCACATTTATTAATATATGAACTTACAATATTGATACTCATCAAATTTCTCAAGTGCTAAATAACACTGCTCACAACATTTAGGTCAATTAAAACACTTATAAACACATCACATACACAAACATCAAATTTGAGACCACTTGGTTGGTAGCCAAACAAATCAAGATGAACTGTGTAACTAAAACACTCATCTTCGATCAATCCCATTCACTTTAATTTATAGAAAATTAAATTTTATATATTTATCATGAATACAAATGATAAAATTTAAGTCTATCCTCTCATTATTTATGTTGCATATTTTCATTTGATAAATCAGAAAAATATAATAGGTCATTGAGTTCTAAAAGAATAGTTGTTGATGATGTAATAGACTTCTTTATGTTTTATAAGTGCTTTTTTTTTAAGTTATGGTATAAGGTTTTAGGCTTCGTTTGGGACGGCTTTTTTTTTGCTTTCTAAAACGAAGTTTTGATACAAAAATAAAAAATTTTGTACTAAAACTCTGTTTTAGAAAGCAGTAAAAAAGCCGTCCCAAACGAAGCCTTAATCTTATTCATGGCTGATTAAATATTTAGTTCAATGAAAATAATCTGAGCTCTTAGAGTTGTATAAAGATATTTCACATAATTGTTTGGTACATGAAAAAATTTTATCACTTCTCTCCTATTTAGAGAAGATGAAGGTTACAGGGATAAGCTTGCCATCATCACAGAATAGAATTGTACAAGCTTTCCAACAGTAATTGATAGTAGCTGGTAATGAAGGTTTAAATTTCAATAATGCTCAGCAATTGCTACAGGTTATGAGTTACATGTAGAGGAGATTGGCTATCTATATCCAACAGGGATATTTGTCAATGAATTGAACTGTGTAATCTTTTCCACCACTATTATGAGTACAGGGCTTTGAGCTCGCTCAAAGGTATAATAGATGCTACAATGAACAAAATATATTTTAAGAAAGCAATTACACAGAGTTTGCCTAAGGCTTTCGTTTGGGACGACTTTTTTGTTGCTTTGTAAAATAATTTTTTAGTACAAAAATTTTTTGAATTAGAATATTTTATAGTAGAAAATCGTTTTATGAAGCTGTAAGAAAACCGTCCCAAATGAAGCCTACGCGAATGCAATTCTCAAATCTATCTTCTTCGCTCCCTCGCTTCTTTGCGGCTAACAAACTCGCACAATCTGCAAGGCAATGTGTCCAGGCTTGCGGCACGAACCCTGCCATAATTGCCTAGAACACCGCACCTTCTCCAACCATGGAACTCAGCATATGCTACGGGATCATCAGCCACAGCCTTCACATACGAAGCCAATTCACTCATTGAGCTGAATTTTGATCCATCTATAATTGAGTTGGGTGGGACGAAATCCCACACATTAGGTGCACCAAAATAGATAGGAACTGCACCGGCGTCGAGGGCGTAGTACAGTTTCTCAGTCACATAGCTCTCTGTTACAGTGTTCTCAATGGCGAGAACAAACTTGTAGTGTGACATGGCACAGTGAAGGTGATCCCACCAGTGAAGAAGAGAGTTACCGTTGGAGCATTCAGGGTAGAAGGAAAGTACCATGTCCAAACCTCCAACGTTATTCAAGCACTTCCCAAAAGAGTGGTGTGGCACAAGGGAGAGGAATCTGCCGGCAAGTTGATTCCGCTTGGCGAGGCATCTTGAAGAAGACCAATATATAAGAGTATCCTATAAATGAAAAAGAACTGAGATTAAAAATAAATAAATAAATAAATACTCTTCATAGTTTACAACTCAAATTGGTGCAAAGGAAGGATAAAATTTAACGAAAGAATAAAAATGTAATCCATAGTTATAACAGAGAACTAGTACAGTAGAAGTTTTAGCCTATTTTTGTACCTAACGCTCTTAAAAAGGGCATAATTGTGGACCTTTCAGCAAAATCCAATGATGCATTTTTCAGTTCCGTTGCAAAAGAGAAATGCAAGAAGCAAAAATTCTCAAGACAGTCATGTAAAACCTGTCAGATAACTTAAGCTTCATTTGGGACGGTTTTTCTCCTGCTTTCCAAAATAAGCTTTTCTAGTACAAAAATTTCTTGAATTTATATTTTTTGTACTAAAAAATCATTTTAGAAAGCAATATGAAAGTTGTCCCAAACGAAGCCTTAGATGCAATATCATTATGCTTTCATAACAAACTTGAATATACCACATAAAAAATAAAAATAAAAATAAAAATAAAACTTGAATATACCACATATCATATGAAAGGATACATATCATTGAAGAGAACAAAAGCTGGATTTTTTTTTTTTTTTTGAAATTAAAAGCTGGAATTATTTAGTTCTTCCATGTTTACAAGATCAAAAAGTAGAGAATGCAACGCAGGTCTAAAGCAAAAGTATACTTACATTTAGTTTGTGGGAAGAAATATAGTAGTTCCGGTTGTTGTGGAACAATGAGCCTGCATATGTAGATTGCACATCATCATTGGCATGATACCCAATAAAAATATCTTCAAATCCTGAAGGTTTTCTGCTAGCCTCAAGATCCATGTAGACACGCAGAGGATCTCCCTTTCGTCTCTGCCAGATATGAGTAGCATAAATTAGTAATGATCAAAGTACTCGACACTAAGGAAAATGAATTTTTGAGGTTCCAAAAGGCTAGAGCAATATGAGTGCATTATTGAAATATTCCTAATCTGCATTCTTAAACCAAGAGTTAACATAAAGCTCATGGTTTCAGAACACAACTGTTAACATTAACAACAAAATATTACCACAACTAAAGAAAAAATTGCTGTATGAGCATAAAAATTGCATAAAGAATAGCAGGACACTCAACCAATAACATACCCTATCTTGATGAATTAATTCATCTCAGAAATAAATGACCTCCATAAAGTTCCGTTAACTAGAAAAATAAATTTTCCTATTAGTGATCAAGCCTTTCACAAGTAGCCCCAAAACCCATAGAAAAATGGAGTACAATTGAGCAAGAATTAGTGTTGATTGATGGTAAAGGTATTAATGCTTTGTACTATGCTTTGAAACATGATTACAAGAAAATTTACACTCTGAGGGCAGGTAAAGAGATAAATATACAAAGGAACAAATTAGATGCGGGCAACAATAATTAATATTTTAATGCAGGAAAACGAGCTATTACGGATGAAGCCCTACAAAACGATCATTGAGATGTTCGATTAATTCATGAAGATTGTCAATCGTCACCACGCCTTAGACAAATAGCATATGGATCATCAACAAATAAACAAAATCTTGTGATCACTGATGTAAGAATGGGATGCAAAGGTAACTACAACATCCAAGGCCACAGAGTTAAATCCAAATATTATTTGATCATTTGCATAACTCTTTAGTAGCGCACGAATAAAAGGTACGTTCCAGAAAAGATGAAGAGGAAACTATGATGAAGAAGACAAATAATGTGGCACTAAAATGCTGTAAGTTAGAAGATATTGATTTATCGCTTTCCAAAAGTGACAAAGATAAAATGGCTTTATAAATTCATTGATTTGGAAAGATGCTCAAGAAAAACTTCTGCATAAATAAAGATAAGGAAGGTAATCAACTATCTCAGGATAAACAAAAATTTGACAATTCAGGTGAGAAGAAAAAAGACCCAAAATGCTATAAGTACAAAAATCCATGCCACTTCAAGTTTAAGTGCCCTCTATAAAAAGAAGAGAATAGTGTGCATGAACAAGAAAGCAAGAAGGTTCTAAAAGTAACCTGGATAGATTCAGACAGAGAAAGAACTAATTACAACAACCTCAGATCAAGAGAAGACAAATATCTGTTTGATGGCTATTAATGAATCCATCGAAGAGGTAAACGATGCTGAATTATGATGAATTGCATGATACCTTATTTTATTAAATGAAATTTTGATTAGTTCGAAAAAAAAAAACAAGCATTGTGCATTAAAGAAATAGCATGCTAGTTTATAGATTTACATTACATTGAGCTTTAGGATGAATATCCTAATATGATAAATTGTCTAAAGAAATCTTATTATGAAAGCCAATGTTTATTATTTACATGGCACGACTCCTAAGAAACCTTAGCATAAGCGCATAAGATTCTTCACCTAGCATTACCAAAAGTTCACAACATACCTTGCAGCATAGTATACGCACACAAACACATGTTAGGTGCGCTACTTCTAATAGCAAAATTATAGGAGTAGGCGGACAAGTAGAACATCACAACATGTTTGGATACCTAAGATCATTTGTGCACAGGTTTTGTATTCACCTCCTACACAGTTTGTTCGCCGCTCCCATTTCATAAGTGGACCCAAAGAGATTTGGTTCCCAAACTAAAGGATTGACTTCTCGTGTTGGTATGCCTTCACTTTAGGACCAGTGAGGACAGATGATACTTGAATAATTGATGCTTGGGGTACATGACAGCAAACATACAAAATTTGCTTCATTGCAGCCACGAATTGACAGTGATATGTCATTATGAGACAATGTGAAAAGAAAATTATTAGAGTTTGTACTATCGACTATGGCTCCGCCATTTTACTAATTGATGGTTTAAAGTATAATCTAACTAGCATCAACTAGCTTCCATTAGTGTGTTGATTCTTACTTTTAAGAATAAAGGTGATGCACAAGATTGTGCAAATTATAGAGGAATTAAGTTAATGTGTCATACTTTAAAGCTATGGGTGGAGCATAGGTTACAACATAATACTAATGCTTTTTCAAAATCAATTTACATTCATGTTGGATAGGTCTACTATGGAATCTATAAATTTATTGAGAGGTTTGATGAAGAAGTACAGAGAGAATAAGAAGGATTTACATATGAAATTTCTTGATTTAGAGAAAGCATATGATAAAGTTTCAAGAGAAGTGTTATGGAGAGTTCTAGAAAAGAAAATGATTAATAATTCTTATATTCAAGTCATTAAGGATATGTATGCAGGAGCTGTTACTTGTGTTCAAACACAAGGTGGTTGGACCAAGTATTTTCTTATTTTAGTTGGATTACATCAAGGATCAACCTTAAGACCATATCTTTTTACTTTAATCATGGATGTTCTCATTAAACATTTGCAAGAGGTTGTACCCTGGTGTATGCTTTTTGCTGAGGATATTCTTCTTGTTGATAAGACTAGAGAGGGAGCTAAAGGTAAACTTGAATTATGGAGGTCAACCTTAAAGTCTAAAGGCTTTCATCTGAGTAAAGATCTAAAACTGAATATATGGAGTGTAATTTAAGTAATAATAGATCTTGGGGGTATTGCGACTTTGGACGATCAAGTCATGAATAAGAGTATACGTTTTAGATATTTTGGGTCTATTGTTCAGAGTGATTGTGAAATAAATGATGATATTATTAGTAGAATTCAAGTTGGATGGGTGAAGCGGGGGAATGCATCAAGCTTGTTGTGTAATAGAAAAGTCCTCCTAAAACTTAAGGAAAAATTCTATAAGATGGCGATGAGACCTACAATGCTTTATGGTGCAGAATGTTGGCAATTAAAAGAGAAGCATAATATTAAGTGTTGCATAAATGAGGATGACTGACTTTACTCTTAGAGATAGGATATGAAAGGAGCATATATGTGAAAAGGTTGGAGTAGCTCCAGTGGAAGATAAGATTAGAGAGAGTTGTCTTAGATGATTTGGTCACATAAAACAACGGCCTTCCGATAACCCGGTTAGGAAAGTAGATATATTATATTTGACTTATGTTAAGAAAAGTAGAGGTAGACCTAAAAAGATTTGGTTAGAAAATATTAGAAACGACCTTTTCTTATTAGATTTAAATGAGAATTTGACTCTTAACGAGACACAATGAAGAAAAAGGATTCATGTAGCCAACCCAACATAGTGGGATAAAGGCTTGATGTTGTACACTATTTAATTGAACTAAGGAGACGTATTTTCTTATTTGCTAACAATCTAAAATGATTGAAAGCATATTATGATGACTCATGGCTATGGCATAAAGTTTTGTCACACCAATATGCTTACATTAACCAAATTGTCGAGGCATAACTTGGCAGTTGGATAGCCAAGACTAGAATATTTTAAGTATTGTGTGCTATGTTGCACCGATACGGATACGGCGACACAGATACGACACGATACAGATACGGGACACGCCAATTCTTAAAAATACAGGATACGGGTACGGCGCGGACACGACATTATAATTTATAAATCATACATAAAAATTAAGAAAACAATCAAAGCATAATATTTGAAATTACAAAAAAAATGACAACAACATCATTTGTAGCCTTGTAGCTTATAATATCAAAATATAAGTAAGCATTAAATGTCTAGTACAACAACAAAAGCATAAACATAAATTATCTAGCACATGAAGTTTCAACTATTCAATATCATATCATCAAGAGACACAAATCCATCTCGGAAATGAGAGAATCTTGCTCGCAACCGCGGAAGTAAATACGAGTCTTTTTTCCGATTTCTTTTTGTTTTTCAACGGAATACGCGTGTCCTTTTGAAATTAAATAGTATTTTAATTGGATACGGCTTTGGCGTATCCGACACGTATCGGTGGAGTATAGGAGGTGTATCCGTGTATCGGTGTATCAGATACAGCACGCCTTCATAAATAGGTGTATCGGTGCAACATAGATTGTGTGCTACTTGTCATTCAAACCTAAGAAACAAATGTTCACTTCTATGCAATTAAAGCTTCTCTACATTGATCTATTTGGACCAATTGTCCAAACTAGTCTAGGAAAAACAAAGTATGAATATGTGATTATGGAATGATTACTTAGTTTTATTTTTGGCAAGTAAAAGTGATGGTGTACTAGAATTCATGAAGCTTGCAAAATGAATGCAGAATGAGCAAGGATTATCATTGCATGCATTAGATGTGATCACCAGTGAGAATTTATGAATGAAAGATTTGAATCTTTTTTGTGATGAGCTTTGAATTAGGCGTTATTTTTCAAGATATAGAACCCCACAACATAAAGGAGTTTTAAAATGAAAAAAAAAAAGAACATTATTAGATATATATAGCCAGAATCATGTTGAGTGAATTTCTTCTATAAAAATATTTTTGAGTTAAAGACGTAAATATTGCTTGTTATATAATTAATAGAATGACTATAAGATTCACCATTAAGAACACTCCGTATGAAATCTTGAGAGGGGAGAAACTAAATGTATCTCATTTTCAAGTCTTTGGTTACAAATGTTTCATAAGAATAGATATTATAATCTGAATAAATTAGACACAGCATATGATAAAGAAACGTTCTTGGGTTATTCAAATCGTGGCAAGGCATTAGAGGTGTTCATAAGAGAATATTAACAATATAACAATTTATTCATGTGACATTTGATGAGCAGACCAAGGGGCTACCTAAAATTATAGATCAAGATGATAAGGAAATTAATAGCTTAGTGAACTTAAACTTAAATGAATCAGAAGGTACCAAGGATATTCCTCTTGCTCCGGAGCTGCATAAGGAGTGAAGGTATGCTTCTCGTCATCATAAGGAGTTCATCATAGGTGAAAAAGTTTAGGGTGTAAGGAATAGAAGTGCACTTTAT